TATATATATATATATATAGATAGACAAAAGGATTACTTTAAAAAAGCAATACTAATCAACAAAACATGTAAAGTTGAAAAGAAACATGTTATGTTCTTGGTAGTCTTTTTCAATAAAATACCAACCAACTTAACTTCTTTTGTTTTCTAATTCCACGATCCGGAAACTTAAATAATGGACACAGCAACTCATTTTCTGCCTTGAGTGTCCATGAAATAAACACAAAACACAAACATACACACACACACATACACAAACACACAAACACACACATCTTTACGACCTCCAGCAGGGAGCCATCTGGAGACCCAAAGGACAAAGACACAGAAAGGATAGTGAAAGCTACACTGGATGAGAAATAATATCCACTCTTCAGGCACCTCTAGACTCCTCAACTGCTACAATCCAACTATATATTTTAGAAATCCAGGATACATAAACCATTGAATGCCTGCTGATAATCCCATATATAGGCTGTAATTTGAAGATTCTGGCCACTCTCTTCCTGTGTCCAACTCTATAAACTAGAGCTACAACGACTGTTGCTATTAAATGAACATGAATGCTGCTGCTAACGTTAGCTCTGCTTGTTTCTCTGATCCAGACATCCGATGAATAAAATCCGGTTCTAATCTAGAGTTAAAAACCACCAAGATCTAAACAGTGGATGGTAAAAAGATGGCTTAAAACTAGATAAAAAGTCAATTTATGACAGCTTCTGGCAGACAACCACAATGCATACAAGGGGATCTGACGCCATCGACAGGCGACCAGTGAAAACACACCTTACCTGAATAAAATGACAGATTTCTAGACATTGTTGGAAACATTTGGGATAATGTAAGTACACAATTCAACTAAATATATTTAAAATAGGTAGGTCTAGTCTTTATAGATATTTTAATGCGGAAATGTTAAATATAGCTTTTTAATGATCAACAGATTAATCAATAATGAAAATAATCCATAGTAGCAGCCCCATTATGACTTGAATTAGAGTTTTCAGGATTTATCTTTCAGCCTTTAAACCTGACGTTTATGTGAACCACAAGAGGACAGACTGGAAACAGAAAGCAAATATTCTCAGGCTGTCTATGAGGAAAGAGAGATATGATGATAGAAGATGAAAGTCAATGCATTTATCCATTTTCTATACTTATTCCAGACCCCCATTTCTCCCTCCTAATCACATCACAACGGTTTAACTTGGAGGCTAAATATCAATCTGCATTCTTCACACAAAGACGACCATTCAGACGGGCTAACCTACAAATGAGTGGCACTCACATGCACAAAGCAGGACACGAAGCCAAGTCCTGATTTGTGCATCACTATTTGCTGTTTTCTTACAGAGTAGTGTGCCAGAGTGGGATTTGAACACACCACAAAATACTTTTTATTACCTTAAATGTGCACATGCAGGTGACATTGAGCTACACATAATGTAAAAGATACCGCACAAAGTGTGACCCAAGGACAAGCCTATGCCAAGCTGGATGAGGAAGCCAAACACAGAGACTGACATCAACCTGCACATGCGCAAGGTGTACTTACGCAGCAGGGTATAGGAGGAGGATAAGAGGTGAACAGCGTATCTACCCTGTGAGAGGAGTCCTGGGAGTGAGAGGCGGCGCCGCAGACCCTCGGCCTCCTCCTCGCGGATGTCCCCTGTGCTGGAACTCTTTTTTGCCTGCATAGAGTCCTCCTGGCGGACGCGCTCTGCGTTGTTGTCGGCCACGACACCTGTGAGGCCCGCCGGACTGCCTGGCCTTGCTGCTCCCGAGGGCAAGTAGAAGTTCATCATCTTTTTCAGGGACAAAGCCTCATAGGTGGAGGCGACCCGTTCGCCCACGGCAGAGGCGCAGGAGGCCACCAGGCTGTTGAGCGTGGAGCCATGGGTGGAGGAGGCGAGTCCTCCTGCTGAGGGCTGGAGGAGAAACAAAGCAGAGTTAGACATGAACACACAGGAGTCTGAGTACTATGAGATCAGACATATAGAACATAAAGCTATTTTTGTATATTAGAGCTGCATTGATTAGTCGATTAATTGATTGGTTGTCAACTATTAAAAGTCCAGTGTGTAAAAAAAAGTATCAGGTATCGGGTACTTATTAGGTACTTCCAAACACACGCTGGGGTAAAACGTAGGACAAAACAGCATTATTATAAAGTACTATAGTGCAACTGGATGTTGGCCTGAGATGTTGTTGACCCCAAAAAATGTCATATCATTATCGTATCTTGAATCACCTTGCAATATCTAATAATAGATGCAATAAGCAATAAGATTACTGGTTACTAAACTAATTTGAAAACAGGCAACAAGAAGGACCATAAACAGCATGTCAATCAATCAATATGTACAGTGACACTACAAATGAATGCTGAAAGGTTGTTTTCAACACTATTTGATGTTTCCTTACAGTTGTGATACAGTCCGACTCACCAGCACAGTGTGCAGTCCTGAAGTGGTCGTCTTAGCCGCCTGCTCAACTTCGGACAGTTTCTTCAGGTAGTCTTTGACAGCCTGCTCGTCTGGATAGGGTGAATTCTTGACCCCCAAAGCAGCACCTCCTTTCAATTGAGTCGAGGGGTCAGAGTCTGAGACTGGCAGTGCTCCGTTAGCCAAGGCTGATTCCTCTTTGTCCAAGTCCTGATGGTGAGTGGGGTCAGAGGAGGGCTCTGCACCTTTATCAGGCACTGGGGACACTGAGGTGGAGGAATAGGAGGGGAGGACCGGCTCGGACGGGGATGTTTTAAGCCCTTGTGTGAGAGCAGGCACCTCCAGCATGCCCTCGTCCTCGGTGAGCTCCACACCGAGGGGGCAATAGTGACCGTCAGAGATGATGACATGGTCCTCTTTGTCTGTCATGGTGTACAGCAGCTGGTTACACTGTCTGCATTTATCCACAGGGGGGCGGTGGGTGTCCTGAGGGCCCAGGCAGCGTACCAGAGCCAGGCTGTGTGAAGCCCCGCAAGCCACCTGTAATACATACCTGCCTGCCAAATGCTCAACTTTTTGTGGTTTCCAGACAGGAAAGACGGTGACGTTGAGGCCCAACTGGCAACCGCTGCCCCACGCCCACACCTCCCGCTGGGCCGACAGTGCCAGGGTGTGATGCTCCCCGCAGGCCAGCTCCAGCACCGGGACTGTCTGAGGTGGGCTGGTGTCGGAGTCCACCACAGCAACCGGAGTAGGGTTGGGGACGGTGCTGAGGCCCGACAAGCCACACTGACCTGAGCCATTGTCCCCCCACATGTGGAGGCCACCGTCCTCTGTCACTGCCCCGCTGTGGAAGCTTCCAGCTGCGACAGCGACCACCCGCTGGCCGCTGAGCGCGCTCTCCAGGGTGGGTTTCTCCGGCTCGGGCACTTGACTCTGCTTCCATGGCAACTCCCCAAAACTGTACACCTGCCCTCCTGAACAACAACAACAACACAATAATCAAAGTGATGGCAGCTTTTCTCATCCACAGGATTGTCTAATTAATCAATTCATTTAAGTTGAAAGAGTAGTATCAGTATATATTCAAATTGCCCAACATAAAACGCACATCAGCCCACCAGTTCTGTCCCTTAGTTTCTGTCATCTCTCTACAGTCTGTTTGTGATGAAGACAGAGAAATACCCCAAAAAAATATTTCTTAAAAAACCAATAAGATTTACCTTCCACCAGCAGAACACCATGCCGTGTGCCCAGGGCAACCTGAAGGACAGGCCGGGGGAGGAGCAGCCTTTCTGGGGTGACGCTGTAAGAGTAGCCCTTCCAGGTGTGGAGCAGGCCTCGCTCTCCACCACTGTCATCCCCAGAGCTGAGATATTGATCGATCAGAAACATAATGAGTAGAATATTTAACTTAAATATTCTTTATGAAAGTTATTTGTTTAAGAAAGCAGCCTTCTGAGTACCTTTGCATATTGTCATATTGGTGCAAAATTTGTATTATTCTTTACAGCTCAAAAATTCACTCTAAAATCAGTATTGCATTAGCTGGGTTCCCCAACTGACATTAACCCACATTAAGCATATATTAAAGGCCCATTCATGCAAAATAAAATAAATACAGCGAAACCGGCAGAATCTGAAGAAATACTGTGATACAGTGTTCATAACACCCAGCACTAGCTGGTCACACCACCACCACCACCACCCTCCCCCTCCTGAACAACAGATGTTTTGTGGGTGAAAGCAGAAGTGAGCACAACTCGTACTGTAGGCGGTGTCACATGGCGATCACATCCAGCCAGAGAGCAACAGTTGAGCAGAATAATCCTCTTTAGGAGGCCTTTGGAAAGACTTACCTCTTCCTCTGGGTTTCCATCAGGGGGCTTTATTTCTCCATCAGCATGTCAGACTCTGCTGCTGAATGCAGACCTACAATACAAACAAAACACACATCATCTTTCCTACCCAAAGTTATCTCTCTTTTCAACATCTAACCTTTGTGTGAAAGAGAACTCCCTGCTTTATACTTTGTTTCTGTTCCTTCAATAATTTCCATACTTTCTACCTCACTGTTGTAAATCTTCTTTGCACACTGACTTGTATCCTGTTCTTTATTGTATTATATTATTATTTTATATTGTATTTTAGGATATTCTGCATGTGATGTATTCCAGTAGTTCCCAACCTGGGGGGTCGTTAAAGCTTTATGGGGGGTTGCAATGTCATCTTGATTGTAAGGCGTGTAAGAAAACTAAATGAAAACATACACAGTAGGCCTATATCTTTACATTTGGCTCAATTATGTGAAGAAATCTACATGTAAGGTAAATTGTCTAATAGAACAAGCATCAGGGAGAAAAAAACATTAGATGTGTCAGAAAAGATGTCTATTAAGTCTGTATGATTGTTACAAAATATTTAAAAAATACATACAACAGGAAATAATCTGCTCAAAATGTATCCAAATAAAACTATGTCACCTAGTCAGTTTACTAAATGATAGAAAATGGGTCCCTGAAGGAAAAAGGTTGGGAACCACTGGTGTATTATACAGATATTTATAGTTATTTGTTGTGGTTGTTTTTCTTTTTAATATATATTTCTGACAACTTTCTGCTGTAACAAAAGAATTCCCCAACTCGGGATCAATAAAGTACATCGATCTATCTATTAGCTGACAGTCATGCTACCTCATACAGTGCTGTCAATGCAAACAAAGTCATGGAGGTAACCAAAACTCTGTGAGCCTGTTATTTTAGGGGGAAACCCTGAAAACTGGAAAGAGGAGGTGAAGAGTCAAAACGAAAGCAGCTATCGTTTCCTTTTCGTGTGATTTTCAATCTTTAGTCGCTCTAACATCCACAATTTGCTCCAGGAAATGACCATTTATCCCACTGCAGGCAACTGTTTCCATCTGTTTCTAGCTGCTGGTTGCTAACGTGTTAAATCTTGCAAGCTTCAATCCTGCTAACTAGCCACACAGCTAAACCAAACCACAGGTGTCTCATTTCTTATTATCGTGTTTTTAAAAAAAAACAGAAAAAGCCTTTTATTCCTTACCAGGTGGATGCACACACCACTCCGTGAGGTTCTCACTCAGACAGGGAAGCAAATTATACATCCGTTAGATTGATTAGCAGCTAAACGCCGCTGGTTGTTGTTCATCTCCTGATGTTGACACAGAGTCGCTGCTAAAGCCGAAGATCGTCTCCGGAGTCCGGGCAGGGAGGTTGACTCAGCAGCGAGACCGAGCGACAACAGAGGGGGGCGCGCCTTAAAGTCATATTACCGGGTATTACATATATTTAAAAACTACTTACAGTGTACACCTGCTGCAGTGGTTTAGCGTAACTAAACCAAAACCAAAATACCTTCAAGTGTCTTTTTTTCTGCACCTTTTCTGAACGTCGTGCGTAAAATTAGAAGCGTTTACTCCGTGCGTAAATCCTATGCGTAAAGTTTGCCTCCGAGTAGCCGCGCAGAAAACAGAGGACAGTTTTGGCGTAAACGGCCATGTAGACCCATAAAACTATTTGTATTCAGCTGAAAAAAGTATAATTACTTTTTAAAGTGTCATTTTTGGCTTTTATCCAAAATACAATGTACACCTGCTGCAGTGGTGGAGCAAGTATTCATCTATTCTTAAAGGTCCAGTGTGTAACATTTAAGAGGATATATTTGGATAAATGCAATATAATATTCATGTTTTCATTAGTGTGTAATCATATACTGTCAATGGTGTAATCACCTGAATATAAGAATCATTGTGTTTTTGTTACCTTAGACGAGTGGTTCCCAACCTCGGGGCTCACCAAAGCTTCACAGGAGGTCGCAAGGCCTTCTTGATTATAAGGGGTGTAAGAAAACTTTGAGAAATATACAGAGTATGCCTATATCTCTACTTTTGTGAAGAAAAGTAAATGTAAATTGTCTAATAGAACAATGGTGAAGCGAAAACACTGAATCTTTTTTTTTTTTAAAGAAGCCGATAAGTCTGTATGATTGTTTAAAAATATATATAAAAAAATACATAATACAGACAGAGAATTGTATAAAAAGTTCCCTCAAAAGTTCCCTGCTCAGAATTCGTCCAAATTACTCCTTTTACACAAACTTCTTGCAGTTACTGAGTTCACTATTTGGGTTAATTGTACAGTTTTATATATTTATTTATTTATTAATATGTCACTTG